TCAGCGAAACAAAAAATCTCATCGTTCTATTTTATTTCCTTACACGACATCGGCGTAAGTTGCTCTTTCTCTTGTGTGACTGCGACAAAACTACAGCCTTTTCTTTATATTTCTCGAAGTTCTATACGCAGTATACTATAATATCTTTGATATTCCTCTAATATATTTTGAGTAAGTCTAAGTATTTTGGTACGTTTGGTATACTGGTAACATTTTTAATTTTTGATAATGGCGATACATATTAGTTTCATTTTTGGCCACCTCAAGAGGGCGCTTATTATATTTGCTCATTTATTAATTCGATGAAAATTGTCACAAAATCGTTAAAAAGTTTGTAGAATTCGAATATAATTTCAAGTAGCTTAGAAAGAACTTCAAGAAATACATTTTTATACCAGTAAGTGTTACCATGTAAGTATTCAACACCAAATTTATTTTCTTTGGTTTTATTCACCATATCTTCATGCCTGTAACTACTTTTAAGGAATACAGATCAAAAAAGTTATAGCTTTAAGTTCATATTCTTGACTTGTGACTTAACTTAAACCCATGCTAATATACCTTGTAGCAGTTAATTCAGTAAAATTTATATAAGCTAAAGAGAGGTATAATAATAAGTGATCCGAACTTTCTGTGTTTTCTCATTTTACTCTGTTCGTTTGCTTTTATAAACAGAAACGGATTTGTAATTTTAAATTTATGTGTAATGTTATTTTAGCGCTAATCTTAAAATTTGTAATTCATTACAGTACAATGACTACGGATTTACTGATTGACAAACTAAGTATTAAAACATTATTGTTTACTAAAGCTCTACCAAACTATATCATTCCTCTACCTACGGATGGCCATAAATTATTTTCTTGCACTGATTGTGGTGACAGGTACATTTTTAAGTTTTTTTTTTCAGTATTATATTGTCTATTATCAATAAACTACACTAATTATTTACTTTGCAGATACATTATGGAATCAAGCTATGATTATCATGTAAATAGAAAGTCTGTAAAAATTACCTACAAATGTCGACATTGTGGAGAATTAAAAAAATTTTACAATCGTTGCAACTTACTAAGTCACATTCGATCTCATGCTTTTAAAACTGCGACTATTAATGTAAGTGATTTAAAGGTAGAACCTTTACCAATTGATTTTTTTACATTAGAACCATCTAATGATCTGACAACTCAAATAACAAATAAGCCCCAAAATTCAACACGTTCTTTATGCTATGAATGTAAAATGGATAATACTATGACAGGAACAGCATATAAAGATAGAGCTCGACATTATATGCAATATACAAATGAAGTATATTCATGCCCTATATGCATGTTTACATTGCCTACCACTTGTGCACTTAAAGCTCACTTGCGTCTGCATTTAAAAGATCCACCATTCTTCTGTCCAGAATGTGGTATTCATCTTTCAAATAAAAGTGTACATTATCCATTTGGTCATGATTGTGAAGGCTTCAAGATGATGCGAGCCACTGCCAGATTAATGTGCTCTATTGATAATTTTCATGTTTTTCACCCAAATGAATATAATAAACATATGAAATCTTTTCATTTAAAAAAAGTTTACAAATGCCCAGTTTGTATTGTAGCTTGTTTCAATGAAGAAAGTATTCAAACACATTTAAAACAACACAGTTACGATGTCAAGCCAGTGGTGTTCTATCAATGTGAAAAGTGTTCTGGTAAATTAGTCTTTAAAAACCAAGTCGATAATCATTTAAAAACACACACAGCCAGCTATACTTTTCCATGTTGGACCTGTGGTACCGTTTTCAAAGATACAATAGCATTGATTAGTCATCATATGAATATGCACTCCCCAGAAATGAATATAAGCAAACAGTTATACACAAGTATTTTAAATGATAAAAATTATATTTACCATGTTGTAAAAAGATGTGAAAAATGTAAATATAATATTACTTTCAAATGCAAACATAATGAAATTAAGTATTTACCAGATAAATGTAATAAATGTACAACAAAGTTAAATACCCAAGGCAAAAAAGTGAACATGGTAAGACAAATAATATGTCACTTATGTAAAAATAAAATATCCCAGAACTGGGAAGAAATTAAAAAACACTATGCAGAGTATCATAAAAGCCATAAATGTGTTGATGTCAAAGTTATTCTAAAAAAACTTAATAGAAAAGAATATGAGAAAAAGAAAAAAGATAGCCATAAAAATAAAAAAACACTTAAAAACAAGACTAGCAAAAGAATTAAAATTCGTGAAAGACAAAATAAAGATATTGTACCCTTAAATGACACAATTTTAGGAAGTACTCAACCTAAAACTCAAAGCAGCGAATTTGATTGTTATAAATGTGGTGTGCACAATGAAGACAAAAAATCTTTAGAGATGCATATGATTTCTCATAGAGACCCATGCATGGCTTATCAATGTATGGAATGTGGGCAAAGTTTTGTAGTTAAACCATCATTTTCCAAACATCTGTTGTTGGAACATGGGATATCAGATGTTTTGGATTACATTAATAAGAAGCAGTGTTTTAATGAAAACGCACTTATTAAATATCATAATAAATCTGAAAGCAATGATGAGCCATTAAAAGAGAATCAGTGTCAAATATGCAGAGAACAATTCAATGATTCTGAAAGTTTACAGAAACATTTTAGAGTTCATGGAATGGCCTTCTTAATGAAAAATATAAACAAAACTCATACCCCATGATTTAGTTTTAAGAATTCACTAATATTTTTTACATTAATTAACATTTGATGCAATTTGTTAAAGTTCATAATGCGACTAAAATAATTGTGTTGAATTACCTTCCAGATTTATAAAGGATTAGATTAACTACTACTTACTTTATAAGCAAATAAATTACTTTATCACATACTGCTCACTTTCCTTTAGTACTTTTGTCTTAAAATTTTAATATTTTTCATACAATAATTATGGTTTACTTTTATATATATAATTTTCTATATTCTATATATAATCAATGTTGCCCAGCAAAGTATGGAGAAGGAAGAAGAACTATATATATCCCACAATATCATATATATATATATATATATATATATATATATAATGACACAGCCTAATGGATCAGTAAGTAAGTTCACTGTTAATGACTGACAGTGAACTGACCATAAAGTTTAAAGATATGACAATGTATTGGGAAGGTTCACAAGTATCAAGTACTGTCTCATACCAATAACTAAAGTATGGTGGTAGTCCACTTGATGGAGTAACAACCCTGGTAAGATATCCAGGTGGCTTTTCTGTCGATGTTTTGTGACATTCTTTGGGATAACCATTGTGAGTTTGTGAAGTGATAACTGTGATGATGAATAATACCACCTAGTTACAATGCTGTGCCAAAAAAAGAACTAGGAGTAATGCTGAAAAATCTCTTGTTCTCTATGTTACATGAAATGAGATGAATCTGACAGTATAATCATTTATTATATTATGACAGATTTACTACAGGCAGTGTCAATGTAGTGAAATATCTAGATATTGCAAATACAAAATATCTAGTGGGAGAGGCCCTTGACAAGCTGTAATTTGAGTAGGTTAACAAGGTATATGTAATACAATACATTCTTTGTTTACCATCATTTTAAAATCAATAATAATGCGACACAAAAATCAATTAATAAAATAATTTTTTTAGTAAATTTACCTTTATTAAATTACCCGTTATTATTATAGAACATTTAGAAGTAAACTACACAAGATGAATAATAATTCATATGAGTAGATATAAATAATGAATCTACAAATCCTTACTGGTTTATTTTACCTATGCTTAAGTATGTACATGTTGCCCTCACCTTATGAATTTCTCTTGCATTACAGAAAGATAACTATGGAAACCTAGAATGATTGTCTATAGGTCATACAAGTACTTGTTATATTATGCAGGAATCAAAGATGTGATCTGGTCCACTGCAGGCAAATACTAATTACATAGCTGTGATTGATGAAAATAAATGTGGCATCATTTTCCAATCTCATATTTTTTTCATCTTGTGTTGAACCAAGATCTCTTCTTCATTTCGAAAACATAATATGTTTTGGATATAAAAATTAAATGTATTAGCAACTTCAAACAGTACATTAATGAATTACATATCTATTTGAAATTAATATTAAATGATCTGATTGAGAAGAAGAGTGCAGGTGAAAAGAGAATTCAACCATAGTACTTAATTTTTTTCTGTATCTAAAAATTATGATTGGTAACAAATTTAAAAGATGTTATCTTGACGGATTTATGAATTACTACAAAATTTTACAAATATCCACACAACCATGAATCTTTCTGGGACTGTCTTTGGTGTGGTAATTATGACAATTTCATATTTAAGGATACATCATTAATAAAGAGAAACAATTATATTACTAATTATTATCACTAGAAAATGAGTAATACAAATTTAAAAGTTTTTTGTTCCTCAACAAGTCTTATAATAACTCCCAGATTGTAAAAAGCTAAATTAATGAAAGATATTTTTACAGATGTGATCAATATAAAATCACATTATTGACTTTAAATTAAACGGAACGCCTACTAAATAATTTCATCTTTATCATAAAGTACAAACAAATAGTTATATTCATTCAGTCACAAAAAGTTGATGTTCATATCTAAAACATTTGTCTCTTAGAAATTTATTGCACTTTCTGATAAGTGAGATAAGCATGTGCAATAATCAGTTAATTAATTAGTTACTACTACTAATATTAACTTCTGTATGGGCCTACCTAGACCAAGAAATAAACCCTATTTTTACATTATCTTCCATATTTTTAGGATAAACATAATCATTTCCAACTATTTGAAATGCTAAAAAATGTTTACTGTAAAAGCTTGGTCATTTTTTAACAGTCAATAATATGTACTTCACATTTAGTCAATAAAAATACTTTCGTATAGTTCGTCAAATCTAAATTGTTTTCAATGAGTTTTAACCTGTTACTGGACCTATTTTAACATCAGCTTAAATATATAGAGGATGATATGCAGAAGAGCCTTTTAATGGCTTCCGACATGTAGGACACTTTTTTTCTATGCACAAATTTCGTTCAAGGCATATTAAACAATAAACATGACCACATTTCGTCGAAGCTAATGGGTTTTTACCCAGTTCTTCCCAACAAATAGGGCAATTACCAAATCTGCTCGATTTTCTGGTATCAGATTTGGTCACATTTAATTCCCTTGGCGTGGATTCCTAAAAAGATTTATAATTTTAAATAACTTTTAAAAAACCGTAAATGTTACAAATTATATATTTTTAATCTTACCCGACTTTTTTTTGACTTTTTCGCGGATTGCAAATCATTCGTACTTTCTATAATAATTGTACTAAACGATTCATCAGTGTCTATCTCTATTATTTGATCAGCAAGACAACAATGATCACTCAACGTAAAAGACTCAGTTAAATCAATTACATCTCCATCGTTATTACTCATATTTGTAAACAATATAAAATTATCATTAAAATCTCCAAAATTCAACGAAAACGTACTCGGTCTGTGTCTGTGATTCAATTCAACTAGGGATGTTCGATGATCATCGATGTTAGAAATTAAAACATCGATGTTGCCACATACTAAACATCGTAACATCGATGATACCACATGTCAAACATCGAAACATCGATGTCAATGAGCCAATAATTGATTAATAAGAACTTGTGAACAATGCGAACCCGCGAAATCAATATCAACTAAATATTTCATCTCCTATTAAAGGTTTAAAATTTTGAATAATTTAGGATTCTTAAAGGCATCAATCACCTGAAAAATATCATTATGTTGTGTCAAACTCCCTCAAGTGTGAACCGTAATGTCACAGTTGTCACTGCTTTCGCTTTGTTGTTCTGTGGTATCATTGTCGCCTAATAACTATTCTACATAAATTGATACACAAATAATGTTTTTTCTCTTGCTGTCTATACACTTATAATTTTGAAACAATATGAATATACACAATTCAATTATATTTAGTTGTTTTTTGAACTAATGAGTTTATTGTTTGCTTGAAGTTTATGAAAATAAATCACTGGGCGATTGTGAGCATAGAAAATTTCACTGCATAGTGCATTTTATAAACGGCTGTGGATACTACTTACTGTTTGGGCTGTCTGAGAAAAAATAGTGAACAAAGGTGACGAAAAAGTCTAATATTTTGTTTTTGTGAAGTTTGCTAATTCGCCCTCTATAATCATATTTTTTTATTTCGCGATAGGAGTGGTTCATATAGAACCTACGTCAATATCGTAAATTAGGTCTCATACAAAATTTTTTCGTAAATTTTTGGTTGTATAGTAACATTTGAAGATCAAAATAACATTTATCATTATCGGCAAAAATATAACAAATGAACTAAACATTTGTTAAGTTTGCCCATTTTTTAAATTACTATTTAGCACTAAATGTTTTATAAATTTCTTTCATTTCATTAATAATAAACTATAAACTACACTATTAATTTTTTGTTCATCTAATTTTAACCTACTAATTAGGTACATGTGCAATAACATCAATAATGCCAACATCGATGTTTTAAGTAGGATAAACATCGATGATCGTTGATCGATATCATCATCGATATTTCTGCAACATCGACCATCCCTAAACTCAACTAGATTTTCATGTATACAAAAATCAAAAAGTACTTTTTTAAATAACTGGCTTTACGGCTCTGGGTTCTAACCCTTCTGAGCCTATCATTTCTTTCGGAATCTTTATTTTTACATTATTTTTCTTCACAATATGCTGATGCGTCACATTGCGAAGCCCTTGGGAGATTTTGATGACAGCTCAATCCAGCGGACAGTTGATGACGACAGTCACTCAAGTTCATAAGGCGCCCAAGCGATCAAAACTAACTATTAACTTGAGGTTTATATCGACATCAAAGTACTTGTTTCGTCGTTTTCTTTACTAGTTCACACGCGTGGACATTTAATTCACAAAATCGCATCACTTTTACGAATTAAAATCCACTTCAAATCATTATTTGAGCGACAATCCGTCTACGGCCAAGTTCCCGTCAAAACTCCGCATCCGCAAAAAGTACTCTGTGAACTAGATCATAGAGTAGAGTAATCTATACTTTCAGTTTATACAAAGGTACTCTGTGATATATACAGAAAAACTATGATAGTAAACTCTTATTAGTTTGTGGATAGTAACTATCATAGTGCATTCCTTCTATATTAGATATGCCGTGTAGTGGCGGTTGAGAATATCCACTACCCCATATCTTCCCGTGGGTGTCGTAAAAGGCGACAGAGGGAGACAGGCAGGAGATGGGCAGCAGCATCTTCCTGATAACAACTGTGACGTAATAAAAAACTGCGGTTGCCAACCCGCTCGCCAAGCGTGGCAACTATGGCAAATACCCCCCAATGAATAAATACACAAACAGACGGCCCCCAGTCCCCGGCGGCCCCGCTATTCCCGGCTACGGTGGCGACCATGGTAACGGCGGGGCAGGGGGTGCTAAGAATCTCCGGTGGAGGTTCGGTTGCCACCTACGACGACTCGACCTGGCAACATATAACGCACGCACCCTGAGGACTGACGAGAAGATACTAGAGCTGGAAGAAGAGGTAGACAAGTTGCGCTGGCATATTATTGGATTATCCGAGGTCCGAAGAGAGGGGGAGGACACGGCAATCCTCGAGTCCGGCAACTTGTTCTATCACCGGGAGGGCGACCATCTGTCCCAAGGAGGTGTCGGATTTATCGTCCACAAGTCTCTCGTCAACAACGTTGTAAAGATTGGGAGTGTGTCGACGAGGGTCGCGTACCTGATACTCAGAATCACCAAACGGTATTCGCTGAAGGTCATTCAGGTTTACGCACCAACCTCGGCACATCCCGATGAGGAGGTGGAGGAAATGTATGAGGATATTTCCAGAGCCATACATTCCTCCAAAACCCACTACACGGTGCTGATGGGAGACTTCAACGCAAAACTAGGCACAAGAGAAAGCGGTGAGCTGAAGGTAGGGAAATTTGGAGTAGGGCAACGGAACCGAAGGGGCCAGCAGCTGGCCGACTTTATGGAGAAAGAGGGACTCTTTATGATGAACTCTTTCTTCCAGAAGCGGCCCCACAGGAAGTGGACCTGGTCGAGCCCCGACGGTTCGACAAAAAATGAGATTGACTTCATTATGACGACCAGACGCCAACTGTTCAGTGATGTCTCAGTGATCGCAAGGGTGAAAACTGGCAGCGATCACCGAATGGTTAGAGGCACACTGAACCTAAACGTTAAGTTGGAGAGGTCTCGTCTAATGAAGTCAACGCTCCGTCCCCCCTCGTGCTCTAATCCAGAATCCCGAAACCTTACAGCTCGAGTTACGTAACCGCTTCCAGTGCCTAGAAGATTGCAATGCAGTGGACGATATGAACGACAAGCTCGTGGAAACTGTCCATGCGGTCGGAGCTAAGTTCTGCAAGACCCGCCGCAGAAGAACACAAAAACTCTCCGATCACACTCTTAATCTCATGGCTGTTAGACGGGAGATGAGGCTGCAATCGTCAACAGATTTGACAGCATACAGGCAACTGAACAGACAGATCTCCAAATGCATGCGGCGAGACTTACGCAACTTTAATACTTCTCGTATTAAAGAAGCGATCGAGCGGAACCAGGGCTCCAAAGTCTTTGCCAGAGATCTGTCTGCCAGAAAGAGCCAACTGTCAAAGCTGAAGACTGAGTGTGGCAACATCGTTTCCGGGACACCTGAGATTTTGAGTGAGATTGAGAGGTTCTATGGGCAGCTGTACACATCATCGTTGGAGCCACACGTAAGTGTGAGTAACGATCCAAGAGCAAGTCTTAGCCGGCACTATTCCGATGGTATCCCGGACGTCAGTCTGAGCGAGATTAGAATGGCTCTCCACCACCTTAAAAACGGCAAGGCCCCGGGCGAGGATGGAATTACAGCGGAGCTTCTGAAAGCGGGTGGAAAACCGGTACTTGAAGTCCTTCGGAAGCTCTTCAATTCCGTCCTCCATGGTGGCACTACTCCGGAGGCGTGGAGCAGAAGCGCGGTGGTTTTGTTCTTTAAGAAAGGCGACAACGCACTCTTGAAGAACTACAGACCGATTTCCCTTCTGAGCCGCGTCTACATGCTATTTTCGAGAGTCATTACGAATCGTCTCGCACGCAGACTCGACGACTTCCAGCCTCCCGAACAAGCCGGTTTCCGAAAAGGCTTCAGTACCATAGACCACATACATACCCTGCGGCAGATTGTACAGAAGACCGAAGAGTACAATCTGCCACTTTGCCTGGCATATGTGGACTATGAGAAAGCCTTTGATTCCGTCGAAATTTGGGCGGTGCTACAGTCCCTTCAGCGGTGCCAAGTTGACTGTCGGTACATCGAAGTGCTGAAGTGTTTGTACAGTAGGGCTACGATGGCTATCCGAGTACAGAACCAGAGTTCGAAACCTATCCAACTGCAGAGAGGTGTAAGACAGGGTGATGTTATATCCCCGAAACTCTTCACCGCTGCGTTGGAAGACGTTTTCAAGCTACTGGACTGGAAAGGATACGGTATTAACATCAATGGCGAGTACATCACTCACCTTCGATTTGCCGACGATATAGTCATTATGGCAGAATCGCTGGAGGACTTAAGCATTATGCTCAATGACCTCAATAGTGCCTCCCAACGGATAGGTCTTAAGATGAACATGGACAAAACAAAGATCATGTTTAATGTCCATGTCACACCTATGCCGGTAGTTGTTGGGAGCACTATGCTCGAAGTTGTTGACGAGTACGTTTACCTGGGACAAATAGTCCGACTAGGTAAGTCCAACTTCGACCGAGAGGTCAATCGACGGATTCAACTCGGCTGGGCAGCGTTCGGGAAATTACGACATATCTTTTCGTCAGGTATACCTCAATCTCTAAAAACTAGATTGTACAACCAGTGCGTGTTGCCAGTGATGACTTACGGATCTGAGACGTGGTCCTTCACTGCTGGCCGTATGAGGACGCTTAAGGTCGCTCAGCGAGCTATGGAGAGGGCTATGCTTGGAGTTTCTCTGCGTGATAGACTCAGAAATGAGGATATCCGCAGTGAAACCAGAGTGATCGACATAGCCCAACGGATTAGTAAGCTGAAGTGGCAATGGGCCGGCCATATAGCTCGAAGAACCGATAACCGATGGGGAAGAAAGGTTCTCGAGTGGCAGCCTCGTACCGGTAGGCGTAGTGTAGGGCGACCCCCCACTAGATGGAGTGACGACCTGGTAAGACATGCAGGAAGTCGATGGATGCAGGTGGCTCAGGACCGTGCTTTGTGGCATTACTTGGGGGAGGCCTATGTTCAGCAGTGGACTTGTGAAGGGCTGTAATGATGATTCCTTCTATATAAAGTTATAACTTTCATAATAACCGACTATTTTACAACGGCTATTTGTAACTGTTATGAAAATGT